TATATATATATATATAATATATTAAGGGGGAGGTATACTTTTTTCGGATTTGGCTTTTCTGGTATTTAGTATCATCTTAAAGCTGACATTTTGCCCTGTCCAATGATACCACTGCGATCCCTGTACGTGAATTTATACGTACATGACGGTTCTTTAAAGGGGGCGGGTGGGGGAGTTCCTTCACTAATTAGATACAAGGTAATTAGCTGCTGAACATTTTAAATATAGTTTCTAATTGAGTTGTGTTGCAGTTACGTTCTTAGTCTCATCTTAAAGCTGACATTCTGAGCTTTTCAACGATACCACTGCGATCCCTGTACGTATATTTTTACGTACACGGCTGCTCTCTAAAGGGGGGCGGGGGGTGGAGTTCCTTCACTTAATTAGATAGGAGGTAATTCACTCGCCAAGACTACATATATGGTTGTATCTGGCATCAAGGCTCAGTCACCTTCCTCGCTTCGTACGGAGAGGTGTACTGCAAGTAGCTGTTAGCATCCTTGAGTGGAAGGAAGCTACAGAAGCCTGTAGTTTGGTATCTATGCTACATGAGTGACTATTTAAGGCGCGCGGGACTTATTTGTCGCGCTATCCTGAAAAGTTTAACTTTTTGTCACGGAAAACCTATCTCCTCCTAGAGTTTTGAAGCTACAGCGATGAGACATATGCCATTCGATTCGTAAAGACCACACCTATCGAGTAACGAAGCCCTTTTTTAGATTTATGCATAGTTTGGATTCAAATGGGGGGGGGAAGGATGGGGAAAATGAGAAAAAATGAAAAAATGCGTGTAAAAAAACTGAGGCAAAAATGAAAAATCGTGCTTCTTTATTGAAAACCCTAAGAGGAGATAGATTTCTACAGGACCCCCTTTTATGTCCGTTTTCTATGAATTTCACGTTTTCTATCACTTTTTCCGAAAAAATCACTCGAACAAAATGTGCTTGTATTTCGGTTTTACATATATGTGTGAAGTTTCAGAAAGATCCGTCCGTAAACAAAAAAGTTTTCAAAAAGTATACCTCCCCCTTGAAATAATCTGATAATCTAGATCTCTGATAATCTAGATCTCTGATAATCTAGCTCTCTGATAATCTAGATCTGTGATAATCTGGATCCCTGATAACCTACATCTCTGATAATCTAGATCTCTGATAATCTGGATCTCGGACAATCTAGATCGTTGATAATCTAGGTCGCTGATGATTTAGATCGCTGATAGTCTAGATTGTGGATAATTTAAATCGCCGATTATCTAGATCGTTGATAATCTAGATCGTGGATGAGTTTGATCGCCGGTAATCTAGATCGGTGATAATCTGGATCGCTGAAAATCTAGATCGCGGATAAGTTAGATCGCCGATAACCTAGTTTGCCTATAATCTAGATCGGTGAAGATTTAGACCGCTGATAGTCTAAATCTCTGATAATCTAGATCGTGGATAATTCAAATCGCCGATAATCTAGATCGTGGGTAATCTAGATCGCCGATAATCTAGATCGTGGGTAATCTAGATCGCAGATAATCTAGATCGCTGATAACGTGTTGTTGGTCACGATATCTAATCCGTGTTGATGAGCTGATTACATTAAATGCCCTAACTGATGTACGATAAATTCTCCGGGATGCACGATACTCAAAATTTCCTGTGACATGAAAAGGACAACAATGTACTAATTATTTATGTTATGATAAGAAGCGCGCCATGCGAGTATATTCTATAGGCACCCATGCCGCCATAGCAAACAATAAAAATATAACTCAGTACTCACTGCAGTGAGTGACAGAGAGCGCATTTTCTCGTTGACGAAAACTTGAGGTCACGGACAGACGGACAGACAGACAGACGGACATGGCGAGCACAATAGTGCATTTTTTCTATAAATGAGAAAATGCGCTAAAAATATTACGAATAAAAAATAGTCTAGCCAGTTATGTCTCAATTAAAAATTTAAATACAAAAAAATTATCCATATAGATGAGAAAAATAAATGAGCTCATCACTATATTAAGTGGTTACTAACTTACTAAGTACAATAATCGTAGCGTGAACAGCACTCACCGCATCCAGTGGTACGACAGCAGCCGGGTTGCCACAGAACGGCACACTTGTGAACGCGTCCACCGTGAACACTCGCAGCTCCATCATTAGCAGCTTTAGATCTTTAACGTGTATCGCAATCTAAATCACAGAAATGTTCTTTATACTTAAAGGCTTAGAAAACTTTCCTGCACGTTATTCAACCGAAGTATATCCAGCTTTAGAGACACTACACTACCTCATCAAGCTTTGGTACAGCACTGAACGTGGCAGCAGTTTAGACTTTAGTCCCGATAAAACCTGTCAGACAAGAGAGCCCACTTCGCAATAGAGTGTCTGCCTCATGCAGAGTTTTGTATATCTGCCTCAAGCAGAGTTTCGGTTCTTGTCAATAAAAGCGGTTCGCGTAAAAAAGGACAACATCGCAATAAGCTTTAAACAAGTCTGACTAGAAGATGTCTGGAATAAAAAAGCACACAGTAGAAGAATATAAGCACAGAATCAAAATTATAATATTCGGAAGATGTGAGGTGAAAAAAGTACCGATAGATTTTGTCGCACTTCTAGAATATTTTATGCCTTTTTTGTCAGTTAAGCAAATTGGTTTAATCGTCTACACTACAGTATTCCTTAAAATTGGACCCTAGAAATCTTGTTCACGGGAAGTCGAATTATTTAAGAGAATTGACTGAAGTAATCGAACGCTAACATCAATGCCACGAGTGTGATTTACGTCTGGGACAATTACATTTTACGGCTGGACTCGCCGGCGGTCGCGTGGCCGGTTTCCAAATTCAGTGAGCAAGGAATATCTCCCAAAGTAAAGAACGTAGCTCGATGAAACTTGGTACCGGCCGCGAGACTGGCTGCGAGTCCGGCCGTAAAATTGTCCGAGACGTGTGTGACTTGCAATAAATCCAAGTTTATGTATTCTTAAAAAAATATTCATTTGCTTTAAATCAGGTGCAAAATGAGCCATAGTTACGACTACGTATTTTTCGGAGTGATTGGCCCCAATAATCCAATTATTGATCTGGCGACAACAATAATTTAAAAATGTAATTACCTTCTGTTATATCACGTGACAGATTTTACTGATCATAATGCTTTTGTGACAAGGTTAGAATTTTAGCCAAGGTTACCAACCACGGTGACTTGAATTCATGGTTGAATTAATACTGTATTAATTCAACCATGACTTGAATTGCCCAAAAAAGTTATTAATGATTATAAACAACCTATTATATACTTTAACTGTTAAGTTTCTCAAAAACATATGACGTTTAACATTTCATTTGACTATAAACATATTAATTTATTTTATTAATTTTGGAAGTGAAATTATATTATGTAACAAAGTTATTGTTATAAAACACGTGAAGTCTTTTTTCTTAGCGGTAGTGGCCATGCCAATAAATTTTCTGTCCAGAAAGAAATGTTTATTACAATTACCCTAAATTAAATTATACAAGTCATAGTATAGGATTATTTACCTACACAAAGCGCAATTTTGATTAAACACGACTGCACAAATAAGGCTTCGTAATTCATCTTTATCAATCGGAAAATGAATCATCTTCTGGATAGGTTTGGAACGCTGAAATTACATATATATGTATTCGGCAAAAAGACGAATATTGTTGATAAAATCATTTAAATATGGAATTTCGACAATTTCGTGCCGAATTCACTCTACATTTGGTGGAAGATGAAAATATTAGAACGTACGTGAAAATGAAGGTGGTGGTTACGAAATCCTGTAAAGTAGGAACATCTGTAGTCAGTCTCGCAGCACACCGATTTGTTGATACGATTCATCGAGTGTGTCATGAGAACAGGGATCTCGTTCATTTAGCGATGGGTGGAAATTCTTGTGTGCTGGGCTAATTGCAATACCTAGGCCTACTCTGTCTCTTTAAAGTCTTTATTATTAATTTTTGAAATAATAGTTGGTTTCCAGCTGAGCTAGTTCTTCAGGGAAGATCTGATTTGAAAAATCCCAGCAACTTTAAGCTAAAGTATTCAAAATAGTAATTAACGAAGCCTAAGATATATGTCGAAATGTTGAGTAACACTGTAAAGTGTAAACATGAAGTTTGGAAAGTGTTGTTTGCATTATGTTAGTTTGGAAAGTGTTGTTTAAAATGTAGATCAATGCCAAAAATTGCCAATCATTGGCTGAGACATGACTCACTTGACTCGAGAGTTGACTAAATTTGGAAAACAATATAATGTTAGATTGTGAATTAACTTTTGATAATCTTTAAAATTGTGTAATCATCAGTTCATCACACTGACTAAATGACAAGTGACAACTGACAAAGAAATGGAGACAATTTCACTAAATAATTTGAGTACCTAAATATTTTTCTATTGCAGATTCCATTTGAGAGTGAAGATTTGCCCTCAAAAATAGGAATAGGGTGGTTTTGCTGCTAAATATTTTTAAATAATCTTATTTACCATTTTATGTGTAGGCTACTTGTCAAGTTGCCAGAAAGTTTTATTCAAATTTCTTGACTTTATTGTCTGGAAGTGAAGTCTTAGTAAAGCATCTCGGCCATCTCCAGACCAATATCAATAAAAACTTCAATTTGTCAGCTGTTGTTCTAATTAATACCATCATTTTTCATGTCTTGGTATTAATTATTTTTTTCTATTATGCAAAACCATTCCAGTTGTTGTGACTATAACATGGTGTAAATCAAACCTCAGTCTACCTAAATTTGTTTTCATCCTAGCCTATTTGCATCTGTGATCTGTCCTATTCAAACTTGCCTCTTAAGTTTCATTGATTGCAAGTTTGCAACACAAACATGTCAGCTGGACCTTATAATTATTCCTATATATTTAAATATATAATCATTGGAGACATGGGAGTAGGAAAGTCCTGTCTCTTACATCAGTTTACTGAAAAGAAATGTAAGTTTTTATTTTGCTTGTACTATCATAACTATTCAATAGAAAAATTCTGCTCAAATAGTTTTAATGTAGTTCTCAACTTCTCATACTCTAATCTTTGTATATTTTAAGCTTCATTGAGAAACAATGTTTTTTACTTTTTGGTTTAAACATTGATATTTTTACACGTTGAACAAATCTGGAATACCTGACATAATTTTTTGAAAATGAGAAGGAGAAATAATTATTTTCTGGTGATTTTTAAAAACCACTGATTAAAATGTTCTTGTTTCTCTATTATAACCCAAAAAATTAAGTGAGGGTCATAAATCAACTGATAAATTCCAGTTCCATTGGTTGGCTGCTATCCCAGCCTTTTGGCTTATTCATAGGTGGTTTCTGCCTGATTTTCTAGTTTGGCTTTGTTATTGTGTATATTTTACTCCTGCATGTCAGTTCATTCAAGCAGTTGAAATAAATTCTTCCTAATCATAGGCAGAAGTGAGGAAAAGAGAGATGTTCTAAATGCCATTCTTCTTTCATTTCCTTAGTGACAGGTGTAGACTGTAGAATATATCTACTTTTTGAACTGCAACTTAAACTTACCTGCCATTTTTGGTGCCAGGAGATTCATGCTAGATGAATTACCTCCTATCTTGTTGGTAGAAGAGCATGTTCATTCCTCATGATTCCAAACGTATTGAAAATTTGTCTATGGAGCAGCAAGATTTCAGTAATAAGTAGACAAATTTTATTCCTCCATAGTGGTTTAGCTGCTTCAAGTTGAAGATTGTATTTATTATCTTGCATCTAGCAATAATAGGCAACTTGCTTGCTCAAGGGAATTACAAATTTCTCTATTTTTTCCTCTTCATTTGTCTGTCATGGCATTGCTATGCAGTAGCATTTTAGGCTTTTAATTCCTAGTGAGCTTTTAAATTAATGATGGTAATATTTAAATAATTATATATTAAGCCTTAGCCAAGTTAATTTCAATCATCAATTTATCATTTTAAATTTTCCAGTAGGCCTGATATCATTCATTACAAAGTTTTGCATGCAAATCAGGCCCTTATTTATGTTCAGGTATTTAGATAATAATATATGTAATAGAAAAGAAATTCATTTTTGTTTGCGCTGAGCATCTCCCTGAAAATGGTTATTAATATAATTTTTTCATATGTAATCTGGAATTTATGATTTCATTATAATTACCTTTTTCTTGTATATATTCACAGTTATGGCTGACTGCCCCCACACAATTGGAGTTGAGTTTGGCACGCGCATCATTGAAGTTGCTGGACAGAAAATTAAACTTCAGATCTGGGACACAGCAGGACAGGAGAGATTTAGGGCTGTTACAAGGTAAGCAAGTCAACGCCAGAGCTTCTTATGTGCAGTGCCTCATGAAGAGACAAACAATGTTTTTAGCTCATTTTCTCATTTATGGAAAAATGCACTATTGTGCTCGCCATGTCCGTCTCTCTGTCTGTCTGTGACTTCAAGTTTTTGTCGATGAGAAAATGCGCACTCTGTCACTCACTGCAGTGAGTACTGAGTTATATTTTTTATTCTTTCATTAATCAAGAAAAGATTTTGGCCATAATTTGTTCCCTCAATTATATTACCAAATTTATTATTATTTTTTAATGCAATGTAGAGACCTATGGTGAATACATATGATGAATGCAATATATTGGAGAGAATATAGATTAAAAGAAGGTAGTATAAATGGAGTGAATACATGAGACATTGACAGAATACAGTTGTGATAGTTAGCAGTTATTTGCAGTCTTCAAAAATACTCATCCTATGTGGCAGGATGAGGGAGTAAATGCATGCATAAATTATAGCAATGGATCAGCACATGGAGGAATTGAAAAATCTATGGAAATCTGGCATACCTACTTTAGAATGAAGCATGCTCACATGAAGTGCTCTATTATGAATATATGAATGAATATGACTATAAATGCTTCATTTTTGAAGCAGAAAACCCAACTAAAACCAAACAAATACCTATAACAAAAAAATGCCATGTTAAAATTAACAATGAGATCTTACTGCAATGCAGAACAAAATGGTAAAAAAAGCCAAAAATTACACACTGTCTCAGGCTATTATTATATTTATAATGTAATTATATTGAAAGTTGGTGCACAGTACCTATAATTTGAATCCAATGCAAAAAGGCCTACCTACCCCTAATGAATGGCTGAATGAATAGTCAATAGTAGAGACTTGAATACCTCTAGATTATTTTTACTCCTGAAGAGAACTATCAATAGTAAACTGGTGCTTTCCAAATGAGCCATGGGAATTTAGATTTGTTTCCCTAATTTTTCATCTATGCCTTCAATCTTTAAACATTACATAGTTCATTTGTAACTCATTCTGATTGCCTAGGTCATGTGGCTACTTTTTTTTTTGCTTGATTTTAAAGTGTTTTGCAGGTCATACTACCGAGGAGCAGCCGGAGCCTTGATGGTATATGATGTGACAAGGCGGTCCACCTACAACCACCTGAGCTCGTGGCTGACCGACGCCCGTAACCTGACTAACCCGAACACGGTCATATTCCTCATAGGCAACAAGGGGGATCTGGATGCTCAGAGGGATGTCACCTACGAAGAAGCCCAGCAGTTTGCTGAGGAAAATGGACTCATGTTTGTGGAAGCCAGCGCTAAAACGTGTGTATTTGAACACCTCGGGGCCTTGATTCAAGCAGTACGGTATCATATGCTACGGATCCGAATGAATGCCAAGAGTTTAGCTACTGGATGACATTAATTTATGTCTATAGCAGATGTTGCAATAATTTTGCAGATTATTTTCTGAAAACTTACATAAATCTTGTGCAAACTAAAGAAATGATATTAAATTAGAATTCAATTGTGAATATATATAATGTGACATGGTGAACATAATGCAATGCTTAAAAGGTAATGTACTGCAGGTAGGGTTTGTTATTTATTTCATTACAAGTTTGTTCATTGCATTAATCCTTGAATATTTTTTTTCATGCTAATAAATCGAGAATCCACTGTAATACATACGGTATAAATTGAACATACTGTAATTTGAAAGCAGGATGAGCAAAAAACTTGCATCATATGATGGTAAAATATAACACTTTTTTTAAAACCTTTTAAACAGCTGTAAATTGCCTTTATTCCAAAAGAAAGTTTTTGGTCAACTGTTAAGCTTGTGTCTAATATGTTCCATGTATTTCAGTGGAGAAAACGTTGAGGAAGCCTTCTTAGAAACCGCCAAGAAAATCTACCAAAATATTCAAGATGGAAGGTGAGATATGGTGTAGAAAAGTGTATAAATTTCTCTTCATAAAAGATTCTTTGATTCAAGAGATTTTTAGATTTTCTACTTGACTCTGAATAAGTTACTGAAAAATTTTATTTTGCTGAGGTTTGAACTGTCATTATGTTATTGTGCTTATTTGTATTAATATTGTCTAAAATAAAGCCTTCATATTTAATTCAAAATTTAACGACCTTATTGGCATGGCTCATATTTTACTAAAATATTGTTACTTTGTGACTTCTTTGTTTAATTCATGACTTCAGTTAATTGTTTACGTTCCTGCTTAAGTTTAGTCATGACTTCAGATAATTGTTTACGTTCCTAACTTCCTGCTTAAGTTTAGTTCATAACTTCAGATAATTGTTTACGTTCCTGCTTAAGTTTAGTCATGACTTCAGATAATTGTTTACGTTCCTGCTTAAGTTTAGTTCATAACTTCAGATAATTGTTTACGTTCATGCTTAAGTTTAGTTCATGACTTCAGATAATTGTTTACATTCCTGCTTAAGTTTAGTTCATGACTTCAGATAAATGTTTACGTTCCTGCTTAAGTTTAGTTCATGACTTCAGATAATTTTTTACGTTCCTGCTTAAGTTCAGTTCATGACTTCAGATAATTGTTAATGTTCCTGCTTAAGTTTAGTTCATAACTTCAGATAATTGTTTACATTCCTGCTTAAGTTTTGAAACTTCTTGCAGTCTGGACCTAAATGCGGCTGAGAGCGGAGTGCAGCACAAGCCCAACGGTGGACAGGCGGGCGCCGGGGGTCGAGCTACCCTCAACAACTCCAGCGCGGGACAGACCAGAGAAAATTGCTCCTGTTAGGCCAAGGCCTTCCTCTTCATCAACTTGATGAGATTGGTTTAGGGGTGCGGGGATTAAAAGTTCAGAAGTTTGTAATGTTGATCGAACTTATAGCAAAGATTGAATTGTGTTTTCCGAACTAGTGAAATTATCCACCATAGAAAACTGGTCGTGTTAAACCATTTCTAGTGATCAAGTTATCAGTTCGAGTTGAGAGAAGGAAAGGTTTTCAATTCAGAACTGGTGGATTGAAAATATTGCGTTGACTCCACTTTATTCTCCAAAATATTTATTATCACGACAGATAAGAAATACGAACTGTTGCTGAAAACTGTTTTTGTTGGATAGAATATTTCAATGTTTACTAATCTCAATGATTATGAGCTAAAAGTTTGAAAGACATTTCCATTTAAAACAAATTAGGTTTACTGCTGATTAAATTACAATGGATAGCTGATAAAGCGTATTACCAAAGTGAATGAATATAATCTATTGAAGTTTGTAGTTGAGGCTTTTCCTATTATTGGTTTTGTCATGTATAATTAATCAATCTGGTACTTAGCGATATCGCGAAGTTTTCTCCTCTAATCTGATGAATTTTAATGCTGCTATTCACCACTTCGCATTATTTATTTTTTTGTAAAATATGCGTGTATGGTACCTATATATTAGTAACTCTGAACAAAGAAAATATCTTTCGACTAAAGTCCAATCTTTCATACGTCTAAAAATACAATAGTTGTATTTGTGATAATTTCCTGGGTTGAGGCGATTTTTTTACAAATTATTCCACGATGTAGGTTTTGAATATATTGTATTTTACTATCATTCCAAGGGGGAAAGGGGGCTTCGACGGGAATTTCCCATTGAATGCCGTTGAGAAACTGTCCTCCTGACCGGTTACTCCCAGAGCTTACGTTCAAAGACAATTAACTTCTTTGTTTACGAAACGAGCTGCACTTTTGTCGATATATCACATTTTTCCATGTTCAGTGGCCATGCTTGTGTTGTGTGGGAAATGTTTTGGTTCAAATTCCGCTGCAAAAGTGGATTATTTTCTACAACCTGCCGTGAAGTTTGTTTTTTTATTTCATTGCACTGTGAATTATGTGAATTCTCTTGGTTGCCTGCAAAAACAGTTAGATAGCTATGGATAGTTTGAATGGTTTTCTACGTATAATCCAGGTACTGGTGTATATTTTTCCTTATTAAGGTCAGGTCGACATACATCTTCATAAACTATCGAAGGTTATTTTTTTAATTTGATAGACCGAGAAGAATTTTTTCTGATAGAAATGATGAATGGAAATCTCTGGATTGGGAGAATTTGGAAAATGTTACCGCGTAGATTTAATGCCTGGCTATGTTAAGTTTTCATTTCGATCGATGTAAATTTGTTAGCTTTTCCAAATTCAAGTCCTGTCAGAGAACAGATACGTATATGTAATATGGAAGTTGTATCAATGTTGAAACGTGTCTTCAGCTTAGATTACGAGTTGAGGATCTCATTGCCTTATCCAGAACTTTCCAACTTGGGTTAAATTTCAGAGTAGAATGCTCTAAACGGGAGATTTGAAAGTCATAATGCTATTAATTTTGATTGCAATGGAATATTTACCTATTGTGTTTATATGCCCCCCTCATTCCACGAACTGTTAATTAGAGCTGCTTGTGACGAGGAAGCAATAACAGGCGTTCCAAATTCGCCTTCATCTGGAAACTTCAGTTAGTGTGATGGATTGGCAAGTTCCGCAGCAGCTAAGGAGAAAATTTGGCGTCCGTGAAAAGTTCTGAAATGAATTGTTTGTAAGAAATGTTGTCCTGTCCGAACGGAAGTATTTCCTTGATCTTGTACCACTAATATTTTTTCTTGAACATGAAGCGTAAGCAACAAACTCAGTGCAATGTTTCTCTCTTCTCTGTGAATAATTTTTCAATGTTCACATAGCGTCGCATACGAGTACTTATATTGGAGAATTACCAACAAGATAACTTGACGAAATTATGTTCTTCCAACAATAATGAAGATATATTCCCGTGTCGAAATGGTGCAATAAAAACCTTTTATTTTGTCCATGTTGATAATTTGATGACGCGATGAAAACTCTCATGCGGCAATATGTGCTTGTCCTGCTGTAAAGGTCTGAGGAGTCTGTGAATAATCTATATCTTGTCTTCGTATATAATGAGTAGGTATGTATTTGTGCTGTATATCAACATTCAGCTGTATGCCACACCTGCGTGTGTAGGTACGTTAGTATTGGTATTTGAAGGTAGCGAACTGCGTGAGAGGAGTACTTATGATTGCGAAGCCTTGTTTTTACCCAATATGTATGCCGGAAAAGTCGCGGTACACTTGGGCTCATGCATAATTTTCTGTAAATCGATTTTAAAGTCAATATCTAAAATTTGCTACCAAATAATTTAAATTGCTCGAAACTAACTTGTGTGGTTCAACTGTGCATAGCACTGTTAGGGCCGTGTTTACTCTACAATGTTAACATATTCTGGTTAATATAACCAAACAGCTTGAATTCGATAGTGATTTCAATTGCTTAAGATTCCATAATATTTTCAGTGGGCATCGTTGTAAACCAAAAACAATTATTGTTTTTTGTTGCAAGCAAACTGTCTATATTTCCTCCTACTTAACTGTATTAACGGCAGGACCTGAGATCTCCCCTCCCTAGAATACAGTACAAGAAATTCACTACTGGCAATGCTCTCCTGCCAGCGATGCGAAATTCTTCAAATCAGGCTTACGACGACACGAAAGCATTTACCGTTTGTCATTTATTGATTAATGCACATTGTAGCATTTCGTTTCTTAGTAAATAGTATGAACCTATCGCTCTTGGCTTGAACGGAGCGTCCTGTCCATGGTTCTTTGATATCGTAACTCGTTGAAGCTGACGTCATTGTAACCAACCGTATTACAATTACTGAATCGTAGTCGTGAATTCCGGCTCTGCCAGTAACGAATATTTCAAGTATATTTGAGCGTGCGGTTTCTCAAGTGGTTTAGTACAGGAGTTTTGTTATATCTGATGTCTATTATAATATGACATGCAAATACTGAGGTTACGAGCCCATAAATGTTACGCGTGTTTGGTTACGGGCTGTTGAAAGCCAACACTTGAATGGCAGAGAGCTAAACATATTCTTTGTATTTTAGCTTGATGAATGTTTTAAAAAGATTATATAAAAGTTAGTCTGACGAGTTAATCGTCGTTCTGTTGCACGTTTAAAGGAATATTTCTTCAAGAGTGTAGGTGAGGAATGGGAGACGAGTGTGTTTGGGTGTATTACGGAGGGTAAAGTTTGTTCTGATTGCGCGGGGGGAGAAAATGTCGCTTGTTTTTATTCACCTGCACTTTCTTTGTTTTGTTTGCAATTATCGGGAGGTTTTCTGTTTAATATAAATGCCGTTATATTATAGTATTTTATGTGTCTCTGAAGTGTGAGCCAAAGCTTTAGCTCTTTACTGCCCAGTGGACAAATTGTTCGTCCTATCGTACTGCTATTCTTACCAGAACTGAGAAGCTAACCGGGCAGTAAAGGGTTAACATTATCGATGTTGTGGATCCTGTGTAGTCGAGTGGCTTATCCTCGCTGCGCGTATTTCTAAACAATAATGTATATCGTCAGAATATCTTAATAACAGTAAATACAAGAAACTACTTCATATGACGGGTTCTATTTGCCTTGCATTTCTTCCACTCTGAGAGATGAAGGGATGAGATTGTCCTGATAGTGACACTTTCTTACCTTTACTGTTCCAGGGCGCTGCCTCCGCTACTCTTTTTCGTGGTACTAAACTAACCAGTATCTACACTTACTGTCATTACACAAAGGTACAAATATGTTGCCAGATACTTCATCATGTCAATGGTACGAGGAGCGGAAGGTTGTCAAAGATTCGAGCCTTTTACTGAGGATGCATTAACCTTCGTCAATCTTATTTGTGTCTAAAGATGTGGTTATGATCAAATAGCAGCTATAACTATGCTTTAAAGCAGAAAATTGTCAGGGAACGTGTTTTGATTTAAATGCGTCTAAATGCCGCTGTTTTCATTAAATCGCACTGAAAATAAAAGCGTTTTTATCGATATTGGATTCAGCCTCATAACTGTCGTGGGCATAGAGAATAGGGTAATTTGTCGAGAGTTGCCCATAACAATTGTGTGGTTGCGGTAGACGGCATCCAACGCGTGATAGGAGTCTTTCAAGTGGTAGACAAGAAGCATATAATATTAACTGTAGCAGCCCAACTCTCATGCTCGACCGACTGAGTTGAGTTTACCCCCCCGTGCCATCTCGCCCTTGTCGTGGGGGGGGGGCTTGCGTGTCTCAATGAGACCCGAGGCTGTGCGGTCTCAGATGCAATCATGGCCGAGTGGCTCGGGTGGAGAGTCCAGACTAACAGAGATGGCAAAACGCCCTTCTGGTAACGACCTGGCTCTTAGAGTACCTGAGAGCAATAAACATGTTCGACTGTATATGATCTGGTCAACGCTGAATACATGTGATGCAATATGTTCTTAGCCCATAATGCCCAACGTGACATTCGGCGCGAGATAGCTTAGCAGCTGAAGCGCTAGTAATCATAGGGTCACTAAACTAAACTAACTAACTGAGTTGAGTTTAGTAGCCAAATGTTTACTAGTGCTTCAGCTATTTAGCTATCTCGCACCGAAAGTCAAGATGAACATTACCTAAGAGGTGGAAGGTTTCATTTATCAAAAGATTCTCAAATCAAAAATTGTTCATCACCCACAAGTGGCGGAAGGTCTCAATTGTCCAGCCCGCTGATCAAACTGGCTCGAAGGAAGCAGCGTTTGCATTTCAAATAGACGAATGGACAGGTGAAAAGCAACAGAAACTCCCACCTACATAATAACCCCACAACTGAAGCCCGCGGTCGGGTCAGACACCGCGAGCTCAGCTGTGGGGCGCTCAGGAACAATCCCCCTAGGAGCGTGAAATCCCATAGGGATTTCCATTTGCGTCAGAGCGGACGAAATTACACGTCTGTAGCATTCAAGAACGACGACACTGTGTGAATGAGAGTTCGACAATAGGCGCAAAATAGATCATGATATTCTGAAACGCTAGAAACCCACTACTACTACTTGAACGAATGTCACAAATATATTCTACTGCATGAGGCCCGTACTTTCCATGGATTCCTCCGTCACTGCCGTGTTTTGGCTGAGGCTTTCAGGTTAGTGTCACTATATAGATACTTGTCTTTTATCAGACTTTAATATACTTTGTTACGCGACTACACTTATTGGCTAGCTGGAAATGGTCTGACGCTTTCAACAATTCAATTCCCATTTGTGGATGTCGTCTTGATTGATGAATTACGATATTTTGGTAAAGCTTCAGTTTATTAAAACTTTAAAAAGACTTGCTTATTTGCACTGTATTCGCTAGAATTTATTCCAGTTTCAGTCCAATATCTTCATTTGATTTAATGTAATGATTCAGTTTATCCAGAATGGTGAGATTTACAGTTTTTTTAACACGCTTAAATTTGTAGGCTGTACTGGGAGAATGAGAAGTCTTTGAGTTGTTTTTATCATCGAGAAATAGCTTGAAGTCTCAACCTTTCGGACACGTTTCCGGCCGGTCTTGTGGCCGGTCTCCATGACTCGGTGGCCTTGCAATATCTCAAAAAAAAAAAAAAAGGATTCAGCTCAGTGGAACTTGTCACACGCATATATTTGCACTTATCTGTGCTGTTTAGCTCATAACAATTATTTTTAGATTTCACCTTCGTGCGCAAGTTATACGGCAATACGGGCTAAAATTTGTAGTGATCATGAAATATCTTCTAAACTACAAAACTGATTTTAACACAACTTTTATTATAAACTAAACATTCCTGACCATACAACGGTGATGTATAGGTCCAATTTTTTCAGATTTCGTCTTCATTCGCAAGTTATACGGCAAAAACGCCCGACATTTCTGCGGCCGATTTTACGGCCGATTGCAAAATTTTCTTCATCGTATAACTCTATATAACTATATAAAGTTATACGATCTATATAACTCGTTAAATGGAGATGAAATTGAACATTTGTGCACGACTTGAACAACACTGGTGGGAGGTAATGAGTGTATATTTAGACTTTACATTTTCTTTCGTATCTATTCGGTAGTTCTCACTCATTAAATGAATGGGTCATATTATACAAATATTGACACTTTCTGAACGCAACACTGATAAGCATTTTTGCCGGGCCAAGCTGAGCCAGAATGACCAATACGGACGAAAAATGCGTCGCTATTTGGACAATGACCCGCTCATTTTTCTGGAGAAATTTTTGGGTTTGGGGTAATTATAAAAAGATTGAAGTAATTACAATTTATTACAAAATAATTGCCGCAGAAATGCTGTTTGCTTCTCCGCATAATTTGTCACGAAGCCAAAATCGACAATTTTTGCTCCGACTATAAGCATCACCGTTGTGTGGTTAGGAACGTACATTCAAAATTTCGTTCAGATCTGATCAGTAGTTTAGAAGATATTTTAGAGTCCCGGAGAAATGAAGCCCGTATTTCCGTATAGCTCGCGAATGAAGTCGAAATAAAAAAATTGTCATGACCTAAACATCACCGCTAGGTGCTAATATATACGGTGTAAGTTTCACCGAGCATCGCTCACAACTTTTAGAGGTATTTAATTTCATCGCACATCGCTCAAAAGGTTTGGAGGTATTTAATTTCATCGCTCAAAAGTTTTAAAGGTATTTAAGGGTAACGGTGTACGTACGTGATGCCTTCCATGGGAAGCTCAGCTCATTTCGCGGTGTCACTGATGGGCGGCGCTTGGTAGCCGTCAATGGGTGGTGCTTTCAGCATGGCCATGGGTTGGTTGGGAGGATCTTAAGGTACGTGTCAAATCTTGGAGGCCGGTCACAAGACCGGCCGCAAACTAGTCCGCGAGGTGAAGCATCAGAATTCATAATTTTGTAACCACACTGGTTAATAATTTATTTAAAGAATAGTTAGCGCATCCTATATTCGTCCTTCCCTAACTCGTGATAATTGCTGTTTAGAATGAATTCTTCTGCTGTTTAGAGTGAAATTTGGCGCGAGTTTTGTGCTCGGCAAATCGTTTAATTTCTTTTCCACTCTTACTTTTCAGGCATTACTTGTTGAAACCAAAGATTGAAGCAAGGCCTAATAAATAGCCATTGGATATATATTTAAATAAACACACATTATATCTTTCCTTCATGTGATCATTGTTTTAAGATCAAGTGGCACACAAATCTTTCTCCTTTTATCACGTACATTTGGTTAGCATTTTGTCTTGTAACCCTTCAGTGAGAGTGCCACCATTTTATTCCTTCAATTCGTTAATGTCATTGTAAATTTAGTTAAAAAGCAACTTTATGCTTGCGTCTAGTTCTTGGAAAATTAGGTAATTGTATAATAGTGGTATCGGCATTAATTGTATACTACTTAAAATTATGTCAATGTCAATCTGGCTAAATTTGATCTATTGTAGATTCATCGTTCGTAACATTGCAATATTTCCATAGCTGGCTTTGAATTTGAACCTGCAACTTGCTGCTCCGGCTGATTTCGACCGAAAGTTTTACAGCTAGCTGGGATAGAACCTACAACTCCCAGATTCAATTTTGGTGCTCATAATATTACCCGCCCGATCATTCCGCTGACTTTAATATTAGTGTACGACAACAGTCGATCATCAATCCACCGAACATTGTTTAGCTCAATTTACTACTGACTAACTACTTGCTGAAGAATATAACTGATTTTACTAATAGGGATTAAAATATTATTCGTGTTGAAAATGCATGGCAAAAAAATCGCTGAATAATTGATTTGTGAATAATTTGATCAGCCAGTAGACAATATGCAGAACACTTTATATTTAGGATGTTGTGTTATTGTCATTGAGTTAGTGAGCAATCATCTCCTTGTCTTTGGAGGCAAGGAGATAATTGTTGTTGTATTCACGTGCATTACAATTAATTGATTTAATGTAATAAATCAGTCTGCATTTCAGTTTCTTAACCCCAACATCGAATTTAAAAGCATTTCAATTAACTTCTTCTTCGGATCCGTTTTTATGAGGACTCGGTTGTTCACCACCCGCCTCACGTCTGGATGGTTTTCAATTAACTTAAATCGAAAGCTTATGAAGTCCGGCAATTGATTTGAAAATGTAAGGCCTTTGTATATGTAGGCTGTATACTTGTTAGTATAGTGAAGAAATGAGAGGCTGTTTAATCTTATCTCATGATAACTTAAACACAAGTGGACCCATGATAATTGTGATTGCACAACAAAACGGATACAAATTTTGTGCCTTGACCGAAAGTTCAAATAATATTACGATAATAATGTTTTGGTTATACCATAATTCAATTAATTTCTCAATCACTCGAATTGCACAGCCAAGAGTATTTGCATTAACGTTAAATCGGGTAAGTTTTCTTAGGTAAACTTATGGATTAAAATTCATCGAATCATAACGTATATTTCTTAACGAACGCTTCTAGGTTATAAAGTATATAGCTAATCAATCATGCCGAAGTACGTACATTTATACGAGCATGTAGAGGGAGCTGCACTGATGGGAGGCTATTGGTCAAACGTTGAACATTATAATGCCTTCATTTCCTTTATTCAGTTTATTGA